ACAAGAAGTTAATGATGAAAAAAAAAGTAGTTAATGATGAACATAACCCATAAGTAAAAAGGCTTAATTGCTATTTCATGGTATACAGTCTTGCTCCTAATAGCATGAAATCATAATGCTGAGTCGAATATTAAATTAGGAATCTAACAATTATGCCCAATATAGTTCCTTTTAATGATAAAATTTTACACAAATATAAATACAGGAATTATCAAGCTTTTAGAGTTGGGAGGGCCTCTGGAGAACATATAGTCCCTCAACCTCAAATTTACAGATGAAACCAAGCTTCTGTGTTAGCCAGGCACAGACAAGAACCCAGGTCCCTTGGCTCTCACTTTATACTTGTCCCCTACTGCCTCCCCTGCAAAAAAGAAATCTATAAAGTTTATTTTATGATGATGTATGTTTGCATAGGTTTTCTCTGGAAGATTGGGTTTTTTGCTTTTTGCAGTGCTGGGGATTGAACATGTGGCCTCAAGTAGTCTAGGCAAGCACTTTACCATTGCAGCTATATGCCCAACCCTGTAAGACTAGGGTTTTGAAGTTACAACCACCAGCTTTGTATATTTCCTTTTTTGCTATTAAATCTTATATTAAAAACAATTGGCCAAGTGTGGTGGCACACAACAATAATCCTAGCAATTCAGGAGGCTGAGGCAAGAGGACTTCAAGTTTGAGGCCAGCTTCAGCAATTTAGTAGGCCCTAAACAATATAGGGAGACCCTATCTCTAAATAAAAAATAAAAAGGGCTAGGGATATAGCTCAGTGGTAAATTAGCCCTGGGTTCAATTCCCAGTACCCCCCCACCAAAAAAAAAAAATTGACTAGTCATTTGGGAAGTTTCACTCACTGACTAAAAGATGGTATTAACACAGCTCTGGTGATTTAAACATTCAGAAAATGACTACCCTATATCTCCATTTCAATTTCACCATCTTTTCTGAAACCGAATCTTCCTTAAAACTCTGTTATTATGTTTAACACTAATTCTCTATCATTTATCTTTAAAATTTTTTTAGTTATAGATGGATATAATACCTGTATTTTATTTTTTATTTTTATGTGGTGCTGAGGATCGAACCCAGGGCTTTACACATGCTAGGCAAGCACTCTACTACTGAGCTACAACCTCAGCTCCTATCATTTATCTTTAACCCCTATTATTTATCTTTAACAGTCTACTAAAAATTTTTTTCTAAGAAATTTTTTTTGGGGGGAGGGGGTGGCGGTATCAGGGATTGAACTCACCACTGAGCCACATTCCCAGTCCTATTTTGTATTTTATTTAGAGACAGGGTCTCACTGAGTTGCTTAGCACTTTGCTTTTGCTGAAGCTGGCTTTGAACTTGCAATCCTCCTGTCTCAACCTCCCAAGCCACTGGGATTAAAAGCGTGTACCACTGGCCTGGCTTTAAAGAACTTTTGAATGTTTTTCATTAATCATAAGACATCATGTATAAAATTCTATGAATTTATGAATTAACAAACATGTTACTAAAAACCTTGTAAGGTTCCAATAAGAAATACTGTCAGGTCTCTCTTGCCTTAAGAAATATTTACTTACAAAAGCTTAATGAGATAATTGCTGACATTATAGATCTTCCTTGAGATAAAAATAGAGTATTCCAATTTAATACATATCAATTTTCACATTTAAATAATGAAAAGAACATCAATATAAGAAATTGCTTGTGAGTGATTTGCTTCTTGGTACTGACAGAATAACATTATAATAAGCTGAAATTACTGGTGAATCCTAAGACAAATTGCTTGCCTGAAGAATGACTATAATCCCAGTACTGTGCAGCCATCAGGATGTTCAACTGGTACCACAGACACAATGTGGAGCTTGTTGAAGAGAGAAAATTATATATATTTAGGTCACTGCACCAGCTAATTAGCAAGAAAGTAGGTTGCCAAAGTCGATTCTCCCCTAAAAAAAAAAAAAAAAAAACAACTCCCTCAAAAAGTAAAATAAAAAACTCACAAAATATGAGCATAAGAACAAATGTATGCATAAATTTAAGATTCCAGTAACTCCTCACCTTGATATCTCAATGAATTTCTAATTATCTCTGGAAGGGTGTGTGGCAGTTAGAGGATGCTTATGCTTTGGACAATCCTTTGACAAAATTCAGGTCATATCTGAATGACAAACATAGCTAGTTATATGACTCCAAAAGCTAGAAAAGGTATGCTCTTTTATCTCTAATCTCCTCCTACATGTGTGTAGGCTCCACCCTCTGCCCTTCAGAGCTCAGTTCTGTAACAGAAAACTCCATGGAGACTAAGAGATTTGAAGAAATCTTAAATGTGCAAAGAATCTCAGAGGTAATCGAACTCAACATCCCTAGCACCCCAATGTAAGCATTTCCCAAGTACACAATGTCTAGTTTTTAATTTTAGAACAGGCTTCCTTTCTCTCTTGGGGTCTTTCAAAAACTGATAAGATTTATGGGTCCAGAAAAATGTACTCAAATACATAAATGGACATCATTTTTAAGTTTCCTTTTAAAAATACTGTACTTCCTCTTCTGATTATGGGTTTCTCCATTACAACTGTTTCCTTATGGGAGCTCTGCATTTCTTTCTTTCTTTTTTTTTTTTTAATAAATCATCAAAATAAGACAATCTAAAGGCAGAGTTTGAGTGAAGGCAAAGAAGATCTTGTCTACTGCCCCAGGCTAGGTGACAATTTCTACTGACTCCATCTATAACTTCCCTGGGACTTTCTGGGTAACTCCTGTAATACACTGCAATTATGAAGAAATAAAACATTACTGAAACAGACAAAGCAAGAACAAGAAAACAACCATCAAAGTGAAAGGCAATAATGAAACAATATTTTTAACACCCCATACTAAAGAAAGCATTCTGTAATATTACAAGTTCCCCATAAACAAATAAATGAATTCATGAAAAGGTATTAGTTTTTACCTTTCCTCATTTCTCCTTATGAACAATGGAGAACAAACAGGAATAGTCTAACAATTCTTTCAAGGCAAACTGACCTACTCTTCTCTCATCCAAGTAAAAAGTCTATCACCAGCAAAATTTCAAGTTGTGTTCTATTCTGAAGATATGGATAACAGTTTACTAAACTGTAATAAGGTAATGAGAAATTCTACTTTAGCTCTGCCAGTTCTGATTAAAAAGAAAAACTAAAGGCAAATGAAAAAGATTTAACAGGCAGCAAATTAATATACATTATTTCTTTTGAGCAGCAAGAATGCTTCAGATGAATATCATCCTCTTCTGAAGAGTTCCATTCACATAGAAACATTTATGCTCTACTGCAGAGAAGCATAGATAATATTTAAAAATCCCATGAGAGCAGATAAGAGAAAGAACAGGAGGAAGCACTTCTAGGCAGCAGGAACACCAAATGAAAAGGAACAGTGGCAAAAGGGAGCCTCTAATACCTGGTAAGAACTTAAAAGTGGCCCTGTGGGACTACCTAAAGGGAGGCCAGAGAAACAGGATCACAACATCTTGAGTTCCATAGGGCAACATTATCACTTGTCTTCAAGTGATTTCCTAATCATCCACAGATAGTTTATTTTGGTTCTTTATAAAAGCAGTGCCAGAAGAGAATGCTTAAGTCCACACTCTGCTTAGGTAACATAGTAAGAGCCTACCTCAAAATAAAAAATAAAAAGGGCTGGGGAATGTAGCTAAGTGGTAGAGCACTCCTGGGTTCAATCCCCAGTCGGAGGAAGAAGGAAGGGGAGCAGACAGACACACAGAGACAAAGACACAAACACAGAGAGGCGCTGGGGGTGGGTGGGGAAGAAGCCCTGCCAGTTTCCTAACTGCTGTTTTTCTATTCAACAAAAGTAGGTCATCTGAGTTCTAAGAATTTAAATTCTGGTCATCTGCGTTATAACCCCCCACCAAGGAAACCAATGAGTTCTTTTTACTTGGAACAGTTAAAAATAAAAATAAATAAAACAAAACCCATAAACATTCTAAGCATTCTGATTTTTCCCAAAATGGTCCTGGTGCAGGAAAAATAATGCTATTAGTGGTTGAAACAGCACAGGGGAGCTCATTATGAGTGTTAACTGAATTATAATTTAAACTTCAAAGATGCTTTGATATTTTCACTAATAGATTTATGACACTTTAACTGCCTAAAATACTCAATGAAAAAACAAAGCATCCCACCTCCCAGTTCTGCTATCTGCATATACTTTTGACTTCCTACCTTGAACACACACATTGCTCATTCAGAAATAATTATTTTCCAGTCAATACAAAATTTCTGGGAGCCTGGCAGGGAGGCAAACGCCTGTAATTCCAGCAACTAGAGAGGCTGAGGCAAAGGGATCCCAAGTTTGAGATCGGCCTCCGCCACTTAGCGAGACCCTGTCTCAAAAAAACATGTAAAAATGGCTAGGGATGTAGCTCAGCAGTAAAGAAGAGCATCTGAATTCACTCCCCAGTACTAAATAAATAAATAACAACTTCTGGGAGACAATTTACTGGAGACACACACATCTCAGTGCCACGCGCGGTGCCGTCCGACTGTGTTCAACAAGTTCAACTTGCCCCCATGGTCCAGCACCAGGAAAACCACAGGAACCAGAGAAAGATAAGCAGTACTACGTAGTCTAATCACAAGTAAATGGGGTGTCCATGGAGAGTAGCAGCTGGGAGGAGAGAGAAAGGCCACCACAGAGGGCAAGTGAAAGACGTCGAAGTGGCTGACTTGGGTCTCCCACGACGCATTTCCTGGGCGCGCGGAACCATTCGGGGCCCGAATGGAGAGAGACTTGGGGATGAAGGATGGCCCCGGAGACAGCAGCGAGAAGCAGGGGGCAACGCCCCCTCCGCCAGGTGGAGAGGGAAGGAACTGAGGGTGTGGAAACGGCTGCTTCCTGAACAACCAGACTGAGCAGTGGCCGCCTGGCAGCCTCCCGCGCCCGCAGGCCATCGACCCCCCGGGCCAGCCCCCAGTCCCCAGCCCCTGCTCGCCCTCCGCCGGCAGCGCACTCACCAGCTGCAAGCCTTTGAGAACCCGCCGATACCAAGGGAGCAGGGCCAGGGAGAAGTAGGCAGCGAGGCCGCTCCGGGCGCCCCTGGCGGGACCCGGATCCTCCTCAGTGGTGGGGCTGTACACTGCTCCGTTCTCCATCGCCCAGAGTCAAGATCGCGGGAGCAGCGGGAGTTGCGTCTCACTCGGCCGGGTCCAGTAAAAGTCCCCGAGTAGCAAGGGGCGTCACTTCCTGGACCTCCACCCCCGCTTCCGGGCCGACTCCGCCCCGCGGCGACTCAGCCCTGGTCACGCCCCCTTCCCTCCACGCCCCCTCCCGTCCCAGGCCTAACCTTTCGCAAACTTGGTTATTGTTTGTGATTCTGGCTTTTGACCAAGAATTGGTTATTTTCTTTTTCTTCCTTCCTTCCTTCTTCCTTTCTTTCTTTCTTTTTTTGCACTCAGGGGCACTCAACCACTGAGCCACATCCCCAGCCCTATTTTGTATTTTATTTAGAGACAGGGTCTCACTAAGTTGCTTAGCACCTCGCTTTTGCTGAGGGTGGCTTTGAACTTCTGATCCTCCTGCCTCAGTCTCCCCAGCCTCTGGGATGACAGGCCTGCGCCACCTCGCGGGCTGGAACTGGTTACTTTCAATGAACTTTTTTTTTTTTTTTAGGTGTTGGGGAGGAACTGAAGGGGACCTCTCAGGTACTAGACTAGTGCCTTACCACTAAGCTACATCCCCAGCCCTTTTGATTGTTTGAGACACGGTCTGGCTAAATTGACGAGGCTGACCTCAAACTTAGAGTAGTTGCGATTACAGGCATGTGTCACATGTACCTACCGTAGATTTTAATACATTTTTCATTTCCCTCTATCTTCCAGACACTCGTTCATTTGTTCCTTCCATCAATACGTTTTGAGTGTGCAACGAACTTGGTTTTAGGTGTTGGGATTACAGCCATGTATCAACGGAAGATGCAAGATCCCTGCCCTGTTCTAGTACAAAAGCCAGTAAACAAGTAAACAATACGAATTTCAGATAGTGATAAATGATGTGAAAATACTGATAATCCTAACTTAATATGAAAGTTCAATTTAGGATATTTACAGTGGTGCAAAATGGATAGCTCTCAGTAGAAACCATACTTTTATTTTGAGTTTTGATCTTTTCAATAAATTATATGAGATATTCGACACTTTATTGTAAAATAGGCTTTGTGTTAAATGATATTGCCTGAATGTGAACTAATGGAAGTGTTCTAAGCACGTTTAAGCTAAGCTAGGCTAAGGTATGATGTCTGGTGGGTTAGGTGTACTGTACTAAATTGCAGCTTGTGATATCTTCAGCCTAAAATGGGTTCATTGGAACATAACCCCATTGTAAATTGAGGAGAAACTGTCGTGTGAGGTTTGGGTACTAACCAGTCCAGAACTTAAATAAGTGGTCAGGGAAGGCATTTCTGAGAACCTTAATGTTTGTGCTGAATGAGACCCAATGGTTGAGAAGGAGCCAGGTCAAGATCTGGGGCGAGACTTTCATGCAGAGGGAACAGCAAATACAAGTGTCCTGAGGATCAAATGAGCTTGGCTAGATTTGTAGTTGGTGTGACTAGAAGCAAGTAAGGGAATAGGAGAAGAGATGGAGACAGAGATTAGATAATTTGGGGACCTTGTAGATCTTGGAAGAATTTGGATTTCCCTCCCTCCCTCCCTTCCTTCCTTCCTTCCTTCCTTCCTTCTTTTTTCTTTCTTTCAGGGATTAGAACTTTACCACTGAACTGCATCCCCAACCCTATTTATCTATCTGTCTATCTATCTGTGTATCTTTTGAGACAGGGTGTGAATAAATAGCTGAGGCTAACCTGGAACTTATGATGCTCCTGCCTCAACCTCCCGAGTAGCTGAGATTACAGGTATGTGCCATGGGGCTAGGGATGTAGCTCAGTAAGAGAGCACTTGCCTAGCATGCATGTGGCCCTGGGTTCAATCACCAACTGCAAAAAAAAAAAAAGTGATAGTATTAGTCAGGTGTGGTGGCACATGTCTGTAATCCCAGTGGCTGGGGACACTGAGGCAGGAGGATCATGAGTTCAAAGCCAGCCTCTCACAACTTAGCCAGACCCTATATCAAAATAAAATGCAAAAAAGGGCTGGGGATGTAGTTCAGTGTTTAAGTGCCCCTGGGTTCAATCGTGACCAAACAAACAACAACAATGACAACAAAAATAGTCATGTGCCACTGTACCTGGCAAAGTTTTGGATTTCTATTTAAATAGAATGGGTTCCCTGGAAAGACTTTCAGGATTTTCCCTTCTTACTTTTCTCTGAATTCCCACTTCAGAATTCAAAATTTCAACAGAAACATTTTGTGTCTTTCTTATGCACCAACTGCTGTAGTTTAGTTTAGTTCAGTTTTGTGTAAAATACCAAGAAACATAATTATATTTTAGCAATGAAAGTTGATTGTTACATGTCAAGCTCACATACTTTCTCCACAACAATATAAAGTAGTTACTACGATTACCTTCATTTTACAAACAAAAAAGCTGAGGTCAAGAGGCTGTGTATCAAATCCAAGGCTAAGTAGCCAGGAGCAGCTGAAATGCAGTTCTGACCATTCTGACTTAAAACCTAGCTGCTCATCACTAATCCAGCAAACCACAGCCTCTACTTCATCTTCCCATTAAAGTCTCAAAGCCCACAGATGAGAGGAGGGTTCTGCTGCCATCAGCTTCCACACTTATCTCTTATCCATGACCCAAACCTCCTTTCTCCTTACAGTAATAAAACAAAAGCTCTCATTCAGATGAATAGAGACACGTAGACAGGACTGTGCGGGGATTGTCAGCAAAAAGCTATTCTTCCGTCTTTGATTAAATGTATTCTCCCAAGGCCTTGTCTAGCCAGCAAAAAAACTATTCTTAACGTCTTTGATTAAATCTATTCTCCCAACCAATCACCAGTTATTTTTTCCCCCTTTGGTGCTGGTATTGAATACAGAGCTTCAGGGATGCTACTAAGTATGTGCTGTACCCCTGAATTGCGCCACCAGCCCATAGCCGCTAATTCTATCCAATAAAAGTAGGCCACTGTATTCTCACCAGTGCTAAAAGGATTCATAGCCCTGTTAGTCTTAAGTCTCAATTATCCCAAATTGTACCCTATTGATATCTGAAATTTCCTTTGAAATTCATCCAATAAATGATATGGGTTGATGACTCAAGAGAGACGCAAAAGTACAGACTTGTCTTAAAGCAATTGCTGTAACATGTTAATTGGTAGAATCTAAGTAAAGTGTTCTGGTATCCACCCTCCAGTGATTTCAACTTTTTTTTACATATGAACATTTTCTAAATAAAATACTGGTGGTGGGGGAGTTACAAAGAAACAAGGACAGACTGTCTTTATTCTATTGGATTGGTTAGAATGTACTTGGGCAGTTCTCTAGGGATCTCTTTGCATTTAGAAAATAAGAATTTAGCCTGTGATTAGTAAATTTCAGGGTGCATAAGAAACATCTATAAAGTTAATCTAAAATAATAATATTGGAGATCCGGAACCAAAGATTCTGAGTTTGAGTGGAACTTGGAAGTATACGTTTGTAACAAGCTCTTCATGCAAATCTGGGAGGAAATCTGCCCACGTGGAGGAACACTCTTCTGTATGAAAGAGTGAAAGCCATTATGTACTACAGTAGGTAACTTTGCCCTGATTTGGGGAGATTCCCATGGTTTAGAGACTAATATCCCTCCCAGTTAGAGGTGTGTGTCTTTTTTTTTTTTCCTAAAAAAACCCATGGGTGCTCTACCACTGAGCTACCTCTCTGGTCTTTTTATTTTTATTTTTATTTTTATTTTTTTATTTTGAGACATATTCTCCCTAAGTTGCTGAGGCTGACCTCAAATTTGTAATCTTCCTGCCTCAGCCTCTGAAGTAGCTAGGATTAAAGGCACATACCACTATGCCTGATCCTTTGTTTTCTTAATGAATTAGAGACCAATGAACATTTTAGAGTTTCATGAGCAAATTCTATTTGGGGTCATACCTTTTTGATGGGTGCATCCACACAAAAAAACTCCGTCATTAATTAATAAATAAACACTGAACAGTCAAATGATAGGACTCACCACAACTAAAGTGAGAAAAAATTATTCATGATGAAACAATACACCATAAAAAAAATAGAAAAAGAAGACTGGTTGGGCTGGGGATGTGGCTCAAGCGGTAGCGCGCTCGCCTGGCATGCGTGTGGCCCGGGTTCGATCCTCAGCACCACATACCAACAAAGATGTTGTGTCCGCCGAAAACTAAAAAAAAAAAAAAAAAGAAAGAAATATTTTAAAAAAATTCTGTCTCTCTCTCTATCTTTCCCCCTCTCTCTCTTTCACTCTCTTTGTAAAAAAAAAAAAAAAAGAAGACTGGTTGCAGCAGCCCATGCCTATAATCCCAGCAGCCTGGGAGGCTGAAGCAGGAGGATCACAAGTTCAAAGCCAGCCTCAGCAAAAGCAACTCAGTGAGACCCTGTCTCTAAATAAAATACAAAATAAGGCTGGGGATGTGGCTCAGTGCCCCTGAGTTCAATCCCTGGTACCAAAAAAAAAAAAAAAAAAAAAAGAACTGAAGAATCATTTAAGTGCTGAAGAATATTCAATTTTCTCTTTAATTTAATATTAAATATTTACTAAAAATTTTTGGCAGATTTTTTTTGAAGAGGAAGGAAATGATGTCTTTCTCTGTCTCCCAGGCTTGTCTCCAGTGATCTGCCTCAGCCTCTCAAGGAGCCAGGACTATAGACGTGAGCCACCACACCCAGTTTCAGTATTTTTTTTTTTTTTTAATGAAAGGAAACCATTCACAAGAAGAGATAGATTGAGGAAACATGATTTGAAGGAATGCTAGACACTCAAAAACTAATTTGGTATTACTTTTCTACTTGAGATTTTTTTTTCCCACAGCTCCTACTCAAAAAAATGTCACCAGCTCTTTGATTTCTCGTAGCAGTTAGGCAATCCCATGGATACAAAGTTGAATAACAGATTTTTCCTAAAATGAGGCCATAGAAATAAATGTCCATAAAGGGCCAAGTAACAAAATAAGAATTCAGTATGTGCCATAAAAAAAAAAAGATAAAAAGTAAACATGTTGGGAATTTGGAGCAGAAAGAAGTGAACTTCAACTAACAGAACCAGTACAGTGGAGCTTCAAACTGGGGTCAGACAACCTTGAGGTGAAAACATGGG